GGGCCAAATTCCCCCCCCCCCCCCCACACACACATGCACAGCTTACCCGTTTGATTCGAGTTACTCCATCTCGTGTATCACATTACAGTACCATGGTCTTTTAAGCGCCGTCGCTGACTTGGTTTTCCCTCCTTCACTCTAGCCAGACGGATTGGACATCTTCCTTTTTGTTTTTTACTGTACGTCACGATGTGCCAGCTTTTTTCCTTGCTTAGTTCATTGTGCTGCGAGTCTATCAGTACTCGCGGCCTTGTCGTGGCATCGGGCTTTCCTGCTCCGGCCCACGAAGGTGCCCGTGGGTTCGACAAGGTCCTTTTGATCCTTGGCATGATCAAGCGTGGTATTCCGTCGGCAGAGACTATACGCTGCTTGCTCCGACTTGTTGCTTCACTACTGCTGTCGTCCCGCTGCGGAGCAAGATAATAAAGGTGAGCGTGCGTAATGAGGGCTTGGGGGGGGCGCGGGTTTTCCGCTGGGCAGAACATGTGGCGAGGTAGTGCTCTTCCGCTGAATCAAATATAAACAGCGAACGCGGCATCCACAATGCTAGCGCCCATGTCTCAAAATTCGAAACATTCGTCAAGCCCGTTAATATAATTACTCACCCTCCAGCCGGTTGCTTCATATAATTTATGGTAACATATTAATATATTACATTCGCGAGTTGAACCGTTGAGAAAATTTGAAGTGCTGCGAACAAACCCATGCTTTATAAGTCTCGATCCCCCATGCTTGACAGAGCCCCATCACTACTAGGCAAGTAACGATACTGCTGCCAGAAGTAGATCCTGTTAAATAGCGCATATAAAGTAATCCGGCTCATACCACAAGTACGACGATGGTAAGATTTCCCATTCGTGTCAACTCTTGTCTCACGGCCACACCACCATCGAGTCATCGTCACCGACGCAATGAACGCACCGAGCAGCTACGCCGGAATAGCTGGTCCAACGAAGACCGTACGTCCAAGCACCCACAACGACGTACCCAAACGACGCTGTAACCCAATGGATTTCTTTGTCCTCAGCTCACGAAGTATCGACAGACCAAGTCATCATCCGCGCCGGCATTAGTATCGTCAAGATGTTATTCAGTACGTTCACGAAGTTAACCGCCTCTCGTCTGCAAGTTGAAAGAACAGTCGCCTAAACAGATGCCCATTCGCCGGCACAGTTGCCGTTCCGCCCCCCCACGGTTAGTCTCGCTCGATCAGTTTGACCGGCTGGGATCGTTGACTATGCTGCCCTCGGTAATGTTTTTGCCGGCTCGTCAAAGCATCGTAGGGCCATTTTGACGGCCAGTTTATCCTACACGCCAACGCCGCTGGCGTCCTCGTTGGCTATTCATGTTACATTCATAAGTGCTAAAACCGTTGGGTTCGGAATTAAGTTTAAGCTGAATTTACACTAACTTCGCGCTTTTAAGCTAAAAAAAAAGTCAACTATTTATCAATATTCCTCTAAGGAATAACCAGCCAGTTTACCGCAAGTGCATTTATCAATTCTTACTTTTTCCTTTTGATGCTGGGGCAATGGTTACAACATTTTCAGAAATCGCGTTAAGTAAAAAGTATACCCCAGTAACTGGCTTCACACCGGTTCAGTTGCGAGTTTGGTAACTAGTACACACACTGGCGTCTTATATTACAATGTCAAAGTATGGTGTCTCACCCATAGTTGATTATGTATGTGACTTCGGGTGGCGATTAAATAAGCGAGTCCGGAGTGCAAATACTGCCCTGATTTACTGTTGGAGCTCTCCTGATTTGACCTATATGCAGAGTCCGTGTGGACTCCTGACATTCGCCACTGCTAATAGCCTCGGCTGGAATCACGTATTTTTTTTCAGCTAATGTCCAAAGAAAATTTGGCAGACGTGCAACCGCATGAATCTTAAAAATCTAAGCACATCTTATGAATCTTTAAGCACATGCGTTATTAAAATATCTTTAATTTTGAACCCCAGACTGCGGACTCCCTCTTTTTGAGGGTAGGGGTTGGACTCCCATGTTCAAAAGTTAATTTCTACACCTGGATATGTGAGTGTACATATACGTCTTATATTTACATACACTGAAATTGAAATGTAAAAAGTTTAGCAAAATTTTCTGAATACAAAAATGAAATCATAAATATGAAATTTAGTTATTCAAATTTTACTGCAAAAGTGCCAAATGTGTGATTTATCCAGACAGTATTCAGATGCACTCATACTGCTCCATAGTTGCAAACACATTACAAGGGCATACAATACTAGTACTGTCTCATCATATATGTAAATTAAATAAATATGAATGCTTATAATCATTAAGCTACAAACTACATACAGGATACTACAGACTGATCCAGCATCGTACTCACTGAAGACATTCTTGATATATTTTATTTTATCAGAGAAGATTTTGACTATCTTACCTTGCAAGTAAATATCCCACATGATGATGTACTCTTCTGTGTCTGCCTCCCCACATCCTCCATGCACCGCGTCTCCTTTCTAAGCGACTTTCCACGTATAAATGCCCTGAAGTAAATTTATACTGGCCATAAAACCATGACATATGTCACTGACCAGCAACATTTTGCGTTATGCGCATTGCATGCATTTACTGATATATCAGGGTGCGAAATTAGCACCGGCCCACCGGCACATGCCGGCAAATTTTTTGGAGGGCCGGTAACGTTGGCAAAACACCGGCAGTCCGAGCCGGTGGTTTCAGCCATGTTAGCGAGTACCTACATTTTTATTTATAGCATTAATGAGCAAATAGCCTACATTACTGTTTTACCTGAAGGATATCAAGCCATAATTTAGCAACATTTTACAAATTTAAAAATCGAGAATGCAAGCGTGAAACATGACATTGACAAAAACACTTCGGACATCATTCACGATCTGCATTATAGTCTGTTCAACAGCTACTACGCGATGCCACACACTACAACATTTCTGGGGCAAGCATTTTTTTAATTATCATTGCAAGTCTTATTTTGGGTCCCTTCTGGTTCAAACAGCAAACAAAATTTGTGAGGGCTGGTAAAAAACTGCTGTTACCACTTACCAGCCCTCTGGGCCGGTGCAAAAAATCTGAATTTCATGCTCTGTATAGTACATTAAATTAAAACTAGCATTCGTCACAGCAGTTTTATGTGAATGCATATTAACCACATATCATTATATACCATCAAATTACATTATAACAAGTGCCGCAGAGCGACAGCGCTCATCTAACGTCTACTGCGGTGACTCTGTGGTGGAGTGGTGGG